AAACCAGGACTAAACCAGGACTAAACCAGGACTGAACCAGGACTGAACCAGGACTAAACCAGAACTGAACCAGGACTAAACCAGGAGTAAATATTTAGTGTAAAAGAGAAGAAAAATAAAAATATGTTGTAAATATTTAAAACTCTGGAGCAGATTTATAAAAAGTGAAATATTTTCTTGTAAAAGAGAAAAGACGTGAACATGTGTTGTAAACGTTTATTGTACATTCGATAAAGAAGGTGTGACAGAGACGCCTCGGCCTGATCCAGACCACCAGAACCTGTGACCCCCAGGACTGAACCGGGACTAAACCAGGACTGAACCAGAACCTGTGACCCCCAGGACTGAACCGGGACTAAACCAGGACTGAACCAGAACCTGTGACCCCCAGGACTGAACCGGGACTAAACCAGGACCTCGGACTAAACCAGGACCTCGGACTAACCCAGGACTAACCCAGGACTAAACCAGGACTAACCCAGGACTGACCCAGGACTGACCCAGGACTGACCCAGGACTAACCCAGGACTAACTCAGGACTAACCCAGGACTGACCCAGGACTGAAGCAGAACCAGGTCCAAACCTCTCGTCCGTTTATCGTTTCATTTTTACGTTTGGTTCGTTTAAACGTGACGTGAGTCAAACCGAGGCTCGACTCTGCTCGTTTTTACAGTGTAAATACTTTCACAATAAATACAATCTGAGCCATGAACAAATCAATCAATCAATCAATACATAAATAAATACATAAATAAATAAATAAATCCATTTGAAACAATCTTGAGTTGGAGTTTGGCGTCATTCACTCCTGTTTAATACTGGGACAAAACACGTGGACATGAGTCTGAAGCTCCTGTGTCCTGCTCCTCCACAAACTGACCCGCTCCCCCCGCAGAGCGCCGGCCCGCTCCCCCTGCAGAGCGCCGACCCGCTCCCCCCGCAGAGCGCCGACCCGCTCCCCCCGCAGAGCGCCGACCCGCTCCCCCCGCAGAGCGCCGACCCGCTCCCCCTCCCAGAGCGCCGACCCCAACACTCGGCGGCAAAAAGAAAAAACTGAGAAAATCAAGAGAAAAAACTCAGACAAACTCGGGTTTTTTAGTGGTTTCAAAAAACTGATAAAACCGGACTAAACCAGGACTAAACCAGTCTAAACCAGACTAAACCAGGACTAAACCAGGTCTAAACCAGGACTAAACCAGACTAAACCAGGACTAAACCAGGTCTAAACCAGGACTAAACCAGGTCTAAACCAGGACTAAACCAGGACTAAAACAGGTCTAAACCAGGTCTGGCTTTTTCATTTCTGGCCTAACTGTGACTCAGACCCAAACGGAGGCTTGTGGGCGGAGTCTCGTACAGGCTCGCACTGCTGACTGTAAGGAAAGCCCGGGAGAGATCGCTATATTACTCAAAGGTGTGAAATGAATGGTGTCTCAAAGCTCTTAGGTTCACTGTAAACTTTAGAACTTTAGAGAGAAAATTTGAAAACCAAACATTTCTCAGAAAACCGCCTCTTTAAACCACAACCCGGGATTTTCACAACGAACCTCTGAACCACCAAAACAAAAGTGAAAGTGAAAGTGACGTAGCCCTGATTTGTGCGGGAAAACACAGAATGAGGCTAAAAACAAAAGCTGCTCGCGTCAGGATGGAGGAGCACGTTCTGAAACTCCACTTGATGACGTCACGAGGTGGAGGGGGGAGATCAGGTTAAAGCTCCACTGCGGAACATTTGCGGGAGCAGAACACAGGAGCATCGTGGCGGTGTTGGTGTTGGTGTTTGTACAGTTTCTACGGGAGCGCGGTGACGTGTTTCTGTGGTTCGAGACGCGGCTCTCGGCCAATCAGAGCGCAGGACGAGCGGGTTTCCGGGCGGATTTCAGCTTCACATTCGGTTTTTCCAGAGTTTTTTTTACACTGTACAAAGATTTTACCCACAGAAAACAGAGACGGACGAGAACACGTCAGAGTAAAATACACACAGACCCCAGACCCGGACCGGGACCTCAGGAGAGACCAGGACCAGGACCAGGACCTCAGGAGAGACCAGGACCAGGACCAGGACCTCAGGAGAGACCGGGACCTCAGGAGAGACCAGGACCAGGACCTCAGGAGAGACCAGACCGGGACCTCAGGAGAGACCAGGACCAGAGACCAGGACCAGGACCAGGACCTCAGACAGAGAGACCAGGACCAGGACCGGGACCTCAGGAGAGACAGGACCAGAGGACCTCAGGAGAGACCAGGACCAGGACCTCAGGAGAGACCAGGACCAGGACCAGAACCTCAGGAGAGACCAGGACCAGGACCTCAGGAGAGACCAGGACCGGGACCTCAGGAGAGACCAGGACCAGGACCAGAACCTCAGGAGAGACCAGGACCAGGACCTCAGAAGAGACCAGGACCAGGACCAGAACCTCAGGAGAGACCAGGACCAGGACCAGGACCTCAGAAGAGACCAGGACCAGGACCTCAGGAGAGACCCGACCTGGACCAGGA